GTCAGCGGGGGCGCGGCGACGGCGACGGCGCCAACGGCGCGGTGGAGACCGACGTCACGCCGAGCACGGACGGCCACCTGGAGAGCGAGAGCCAGGACCAGGGGAGCCTGATCGGACGCGCGGAGGGCGCAGGTGACGGCCTGCGGGAGCTCGCGGACTCCACGGCGGGCGTGACCGAGAGCCGCGGACTGGGGCCGAGTCTGGATCGGGGCGACCTCCGCGGTTTCGTGCGAGGGCAGGTTCGGGCCCAGCAGGGTGAGGAGGCGCGGGTTGAGCAGCCCCCTTCTCGCATGGGGCGCTCTCCGCCCGAGAACCCAGAGCGTGATCAGGCCGTGCGCGACTACCAGGACATGCGCCACCACGCAGGGTCCGCATGCAGTTCCATCCCCATTTCGGCGCACCCCTCACACGTTTCGTGGCATCATAGGGTGCTCCACCCAAGGCCCCAGTGGCAGGGTCCGCATGCAGTTCCAACCATATTTCGGCGCACCCCTCACACGTTTCGTGGCCCCATAGGGGGCTCCGCCGAAGGCCCCATTGGCAGGGTCCGCATGCAGCTCCAACCCTATTTCGGCGCACCTCTCACACGTTTCGTGGCCCCATAAGGGGGCTCCGCCCAAGGCCCCAGTGGCAGGGTCCGCATGCAGTTCCACTCCCATTTCAGCGCACCCCTCACACGTTTCGTGGCCCCATAGAGGGCTCCGCCCAAGGCCCCAGGGGCAGGGTCCGCATGCAGTTCCATCCCCATTTCGGCGCACCCCTCACACGTTTCGTGGCATCATAGGGTGCTCCACCCAAGGCCCCAGTGGCAGGGTCCGCATGCAGCTCCACCCCCATGCTGGCGCACCCCTCACACGTTTCGTGGCCCCATATAAGGCTCCGCCCAAGGCCCCAGGGGCAGGGTCCGCATGCAGTTCCATCCCCATTTCGGCGCACCCATCACACGTTTCGTGGCATCATAGGGTGCTCCACCCAAGGCACCGCCCCAATGGCAGGGTCCGCATGCAGCTCCACCCCCATGCCGGCGCACCCCTCACACGTTTCGTGGCCCCATAGGGTGCTCCGCCCAAGGCCTTGGCCTCAGAAATCTGGCCTTGGCCTTGGCCTTGCTCCTGCTCCTGCTCCTGGTCCTGCTGCTGCTCCTGCTCCTGCTCCTGCTCCTGCTCCTGCTCCTGCTCCTGCTCCTGCTCCTGCTCCTGCTCCTGCTCCTGCTGCTGCTGCTGCTGCTGCTGCTGCTGCTGCTGCTGCTGCTGCTGCTGCTGCTGCTGCTGCTGCTCCTGCTCCTGCTGCTGCTCCTGCTCCTGCTCCTGCTCCTGCCTGTCCTGCTCCTGCTCTGCTCCTGCTCCTGCTCCTGCTCCTGCTCCTGCTCCTGCTCCTCTCCTTCTGCTCCTGCTGTCCTGCCTCCTCCTCCTCCTCCTCCTCTCCTCCTCCTCGTTCTCCTCCTCCTGCTGCTCCTGCTGTCCTGCCTCCTCCTCCTCTCCTCCTCCTCCTCCTCCTCTTCCTCCTCCTCCTCCTCCTCCTCCTCCTCCTCCTCCTCCTCCTCCTCCTCCTCCTCCTCCCGCGGGGGGGGGAGCTCTTAGAAGTTTCCACTGCTTGGGGTGGTCCCGGCTCTCTCCCCCAGTCGTTCCCCCCCAGGGGGACACCTCACGTCGTCGTCGCCCGCCGTTCCCCCCCGTCGTTCCCCTTGCACTCCTCTCAGGAACCTGTCGAAACCTTTCAGTTGAGCGCCCCCCTGGTGTCAGAGAGGACGAGGCGGCGGCGGCGGCGGCGGCGGCGGCGGAGGAGGAGGAGGAGGAGGAGTATCGCAGCTTCTGTTACCGAACCCCAACCAAGACCGCTTGTCTTGGCAAACCCATGGAAGGAAAGAAAGCGGTGATCATGGCACGTGGCCCAGACTGAACGCGGAAGCGCCGGTGCCGACCTTGGCCACCGTCCGCCTGGACAGTCGCCAGCTCGTGGATCCTCCGCGCGAGCCGGCGACGGCCTGCACGGACCACGACCAAGCTCGACGCCGACAAGGTCCCCGGACGCCTCGGCCATGGCCCTCGCGCCTCCTCCCTCGACCTGCCGCGGCGCGCTCTCTTCTGCTCGGCGCCCCCCGGCGCCCCGACGCCGCCCCGACCCGCGCCGGGCGCGCGCACCCGCCGCAGGCGCCGCACCAGCGCAGCAGCGCCAGGAGCCCGGGGGCCACCGGCACGCCCAGCCCCGGGGCGTGGGGCGCCTGCACGCGGGCAGGGAGAGCCCCGGAGCGAACCGACGAGTCGGATCGGCGATCGGAGTGGATCGGATCGGCGGGCATCGGCGGCCGAGTCGGGAGAAGAGTCGACTCGGCGGGCATCGGCAGGCTGGTAGGCCTCCAGCAAGGCATCGGAGCCCGAATCGGGGTCCCAAGTCGATACGAATCGGAATCTGCGAGGCGGGGATTTATCCATATCCACCGCCTGGGAACCGACGTCCTGGTGCCCCAGCGGGCGGTGGATATGGATATATTTCGGCCCCCGGGAGCCCGAAGACGTCCATAATTATCCACCACCTGCCGAGGCTCCGAAAACGGACCCTCCAGGCGGTGGTCATGTGTAAATTCCCGCCTCGGAGAATCGGAGGCCGTCGACATCGACATCGGCATCGGATCGAGCCGGAGGCGTCGAAACGAGCGGGCGCGGGCCCCGGGAGCCGTGCGGGCGCTGTGCCCTGCGTGCTTCTTTCCCGCGGCGGGCGCGGTCGCCCGGCCTCGGGACCCGGGGCTCTCTCTGAGATCGATATAGCTCGAGAAGTGGCGCAGACAGAGGGCCTCTGTGGGGGCGGGTGGAGGAGGGTGGAGGGGGAGGAGGAGGAGGAGGAGGAGGAGGAGGATGAGGAGGAGGAGGAGGAGGAGGAGGAGGAGGAGGAGGAGGAGGAGGAGGAGGAGGAGGAGGAGTAGGAGGAGGAGGAGGAGGAGGAGGAGGAGGAGGAGAGGAGGAGGGAGGAGGAGGAGGAGGAGGAGAGGAGGAGGAGGAGGAGGAGGAGAGGAGGAGGAGGAGGAGGAGGAGGAGGAGGAGGAGGGAGGAGGAGGAGGATAGGAGGGAGGAGGAGGAGAGGAGGAGGAGGAGGAGGAGGAGGAGGAGGAGGAGGAGGAGGAGGAGGAGGAGGAGGAGGAAGAGGAGGAGGAGGAGGAGGAGGAGGAGGAGGAGGAGGTGATGAGATGAGAGCGGTCGCGAAGCGAGTCTCTATATATATATATATATATATATATATATAAGCCCTGGCCGCCACCTCAGCCTTGCTGAGGGCTTTGGGCGGCAGATCTCTCTCTCTCTCTCTCTAAACGACGGAGATACTCCTTGCCAGTGGATGTAGGTGGGAGGGAGATCCCTGCCAGCTTCTTGCTAAGAAGAGCTGAGCCAACGGACCCGCAACTGCCACATAACCAAACTTCTTGAGATTCGTGATATCTCATGTCATGGGAACTATGGACCACACCCCCTGCGAGATTTAAAACCCGACCTCTGGGCAATGCAGACACTTTGTCGGAAACACACACGAGCGGAAAACACGGGGTCCCGAGCCAACTCTTCAGGTTGGCATCCGACGACGAACCCCGACAAACCAGACATTATTCCCGTTGCAATCTACATTATGAGACGAACCCATGAGAGCGACGGCACGGGGCCGAGGGGGAGGCGGCAAGGCAGGAGCTTCAGAAGAACATTTCCTCTTGCCACTGTGCACGGCTGATTCAAGGCATATCCGCAGAAGCCTGAGGCGAACCAGCCGTGCATCTGCTTCCACCTGTTGCACACGAACTCTCTGGGCCTCAGGGACTCGAGCTTCGCGAGCGGCGAATCCTGCAAGTACGTCCACATATGCATTTCCTTCGACCATCCACGGTGGCACCTGTTGCTCGATGACCTGTCGACCGTCGAGGTGTGAGGCCACCTTAAGTACAACAATCTCGCTACAGGCTCGAAATGCCAAATGCTTCTGAATGGCCCTCCAGATGTCTGCGTTGGGGCCTGTAGGTTGGTCGTAAGCTCGCGCCCGCCAACCTCTGCATACTTCATCGTTGTCGGTAACATATACCGTTGGCCCTGATGACCAACGAATTGAGACCTCCAGCATGTACAACTCCCCGCGCGCAACCGTCTGGCGGTCGCCTGGCAAGGGACCGAACAATACGGGAAAATCTTCGTTCGGCTCAGGAGAAAATGCCGCCGCCGCCAACCCAACTCGACGAAGTCGTGGATCGTGTGTGTGTGTGTGTGTGTCAGCACCTCCCGAAGCATCTCCAAATATAATCAAAGGTTGGCCCATAGAGCCCATGCCGAAAGAGAAAGTGTCAGCCTGAGTCTGTCCCACGCCTTTCCATTTCTCCTCTTGTGTCGGCTTATCAACCTCGGTCCACTTGGCTGGGATCAGCCCTCGGAACCAAAAACATTATGCTAAATTAGCCTGTGTAACCGCACGGTGGCACAGGTCGTCTGTCATGTCGAAGATGTGAGATCCAGAATTGCACGCACATTGCCAGAAACGATGTAGTGGTGTCTCACTGACTTGGTCTGGGCACCTGTCGCACATACCTGAACAATCGTATCCACTGTCTTTGCGCCTGGACTCAGTCCAAACTCCTCCCACTGCGATGGTCAATAACACCTCGGCAAGCCTGCGCCCCTGGGGAAGGGCTTCGAGCTGGATGAGTTGCTTGCGGAGGCTATGGTTGTCTAAACCGTCCTCGATGCCGCCACCGCAACATGTGTGGGAGGCGTCAGCCCAGAACTGGCGCTGGAATGTCTGGGAAAAATCGCTAATCATCTCCGCCGCCTCCGTGACCGACTCAAGTTGATTGGCGTCGAACTTCCAGCCTGGAATGTGGCCGTTTTGGTCCCGAGGAGGAGGAGGAGGAGGAGGAGGAGGAGGAGGAGGAGGAGGAGGAGGACGAGGAGGAGGAGGAGGAGGAGGGGGAGGAGGAGGAGGAGGAGGGGGGAGGAGGAGAGAGGAGGGAGGGGAGGAGGAGGAGGAGGAGG